GGGACAGTAAGACATAAATATATATTTTTTTTTTCTTTCTCCTTTGGATCTTTAGGAATGCTTTAAGATGCCGCAATCTTTAGGAGCTTTAGGAGGAAAACCAAACAATGCCTACTACTTTATAGGATTTCTGGGTAAGGAAAAATGAAGTTGTTGCAGTAGTTCTGTTGAAGGATTCTTCTAAATCTGAAGCAGCAAATAAAAACACCAGGGGAAGAGAAATCACATATACTAAAGAGCATATACTGAAGATTGGAGTCCAGTCTATTCTCCACAGCTTCGTGCTTTGAAGGGGAGATCCACACAAGCCATATTCATCTCAGCTTGTTTCTTAGCTGAAGAGAGGAGTACTTTAGGACCTGATTTGAAGACTGAATCCCCACCCCCCCACCCCTCGTATGGGAATTCAGATTTGGGGCTTTAGCAGATCCTGGATTTTAGGTGGACAAAATCAATGTCCACCTGCCATGCAGAGCTGCCCGGTTTTCCATTCCACTCATGGCTATCCAACCCCTTTCTTGCTTCTTCCTTGTAGGAAATGAATTGATCTACCTGGACCCTCACACCACCCAGGTCTTTGTAGATTCGGATGAGAGTGGTGCAGTTGATGACCACAGCTTTCACTGCCAGCAAGCCCCCCCACCGGATGAAGATAATGAACCTCGATCCCTCGGTAGCATTAGTAAGTATTGCGACGGGGTGCAGTGAGGAGGTGGACAACATCCCACCCCACCCAGAAGAATGTGCCTTGTTCAGGAAATCCAACGTAGGCAACGGGATGCCAATTACATTTTCAAAGAAATTTCTTGTTGAAATTGTGATACAGGGTTAACAAAGTTCTAATCTAGGCATTAGACCAGGGCTCTCCAAACTTAGCAACTTTAAGATTTGTGGACTTCCAACTCCCAGAATTCCCCAGCCAGCCCACAAGTCTTTAAAGCTGCCAAGTTTGGAGAGCCCTGTTTTAGACATTTATACAACAGATTAACCTATAGCCTAGTCTGCTTGTTTTGACAGTATATTATATACGTACATTAAGCTGCTGTGATTTGTAAAAAAAAGGAGTTTTGGATAGACCAAGCAATAGCTTAGCATGACTTGTGAATACAATTTATCTGTGTATTTTGGCTTAGTTTTACTGTGATGAAAAAGCCATTTTGAATCTGTTCTGATTATTGTGTTTTGCATTAGCACCTAAGCTTACTGTTTCAAGATGCCTAATAATACCCTTCTGAGAGAATTGAAAAGAATGTATAATGACTAAATGTTTCTATCATTGGATTATTCCTTGTTTTTCCTTTCTAATATTCTTCCATTGTTACAGGGATTCTTTTGTAAAGAAGAAAAGGACTTTGATAACTGGTGTAGCTTTGTGCAACAGGCAAGTATTAGGGAAAGCATAAAACGTGAAAATTATTATCATTTCTTGTTTTGTGTTTAACAGATTTACTATTAGAAGGATTGATAATAACCAGAGGGATAGAAAGATTGTAAGAGAGAGATTCATATTGGATGCTTGTTTATTCCATTGTACTGAATATTATTATAATTATTTTGTTGTTTCTTTGCTGTGCTGATACTTTTTAAAACTTGTCTTCCTGAAGAGCGCTTTACAAGCCTTCTGGAGTTTTGTGCGCTTAATATATATGGTGTTTTAAATGGAACTGTGATCTTGCATGAGTGATCCCAAAAGAAAGTCAGAAATAGAAAAATACAGCTATTACTTTCTAAAAATGGGTTTTCATTGGCCTGAAATTAATTCATTCCTTGTCTTTTAATGCCCTTTATTTGGTATTTAAGAACAAGAATTAAATAGCATAGTGAATTTGAACTTCTGATGCAAAAAAATAGCTCAAGTGATAAATACCTAATTTTGGATTGTATTTTTTCATACAAAATTTAAACAAGGTTAAACATAGAAAGGACAGGAAGGCATGGTCTGTAGTCCCCAGCTCTTAAACATTCAGCGTGGCGTTTTGAATTCTTGAGGGTTGGGTGGTTAATAATTTTGCTTAAGTGCTGCAATTTACAAATGGCATTTCCACCCTCCCAGGAGATACATAAGAAGCAGAGTCTACGAATGTTTGAGCTGGTTCAGAAGCACCCACCACACTGGCCCCCTTTCATACCTCCCACAAAACCAGAAGTCACCACCACCGGAGCAGGTAAAGGGGTGTTTCAAAGGGATTTCCTTCATTTCCCCCATTATGATACCTGTGTTACTTTGTCCACGCCATTTGCACACAGCCTTAAATGCGAATGGATTCATTTTCTGCATTTACACAAAGCGCCCCACTGCAAAAGAACCTCAGTTTAGCATGTTGTGTGAATGAAGCCCCGAGGATTATAACTGACCTAAGCCTATTTGGACACTTGGCCGCAAGGAGTAGATTTCTGAACAGCAGCTCCTTAAAGCAGTGGAACTTATTCCTTACTCCAGGGGTCCTCAAACCTGGCAACTTTAAGACTTGTGGACTTCAACTCCCAGAATTCTCCAGCCAACATAGCATAGCTGGCTGGAGAATTCTGGGAGTTGAAGTCCACAAGTCTTAAAGTTGCCAAGTTTGGAGACCTCTGCCTTACTCCTTGGAAAAGGCACAGCAATTGTTGGTGAGTGCTACTTTCATGCTCTGAAGCAACTTTTTGGAATCGAGGCCAAAGTTTGCTCGCTTGCACGAGCAAACTTCTTGTCCATTCCTTCTGGATCAAAAAAATTGTTCAATTGGGGTGAAGTCAACATTAAGCACCTGCTGACACCTTGTAAGCATATTGATACCGTAACGGAAAGAACTAGAAGGGTTTCTTGTTGTGGACAGCTAAGTTATACTGGGAGACGTCCCTGCAGCCTCTGATGGGTTGATTTGTTCCTCACTCGTTTGCTTTCCAACAGCCATTCTCCATCCAATTTCCCACCTATAAGTAGTCCTCGAATTACGATGGTTCATTTAGTGATCAACATTACAACAGTTGGGGAGGGGGCAAGGGATTTATGACCATTTTTCACACATGGCTGTTGCAGCATCTCCATGGTCGCAGGATCAAATCTGGATGTTTGGCAACTGGTTCATATTTATGACGGTTGCATTGTCCCGGGATCATGGCAAGAGAAGTCAGTGGGGAATCCAGATTCGCTTAACAACTGTGTATTGCTGACTTTAACAGTGAATTAACAGAACCGCAGCGATTCTCTTAACCACTGTGGTAAGAAAGGTGGTCAAATGGGGTGAAATTCACTGAACAAAAAATTTTGGGCTCGATTGTGGTTGTAAATCAAGGACTACCTATAGTTAGAGGAGTGCAGTTTTGGTATTCCCAGCCCCGCCCCCCAAGCTCGACAAAGCTTGAATGGGGAAGGTTTTTATATAAGAGCCAATCTGTTTTTACAAAGAAATCCAGTTTCTCCATTTTCCTTAGAGCTCATTGACTCCACGGATAAGCTGTTTGAAATGGAAGAAGAATTTGAGATCTTGAGCGTATGAAGGCAACCTGGGCGGAGCAAAACCACAGCGCCTTTCTCACCCTGAAGTGCCTGCCTGTGAACAGACCCGAGACCTCAGGAGAACAGTTCCAAAAAAAGCACTTCTTGAGAAGGGCATGGATCCTGGTTCCCCAGCCCCTGTGTTTGTCCACCCCCGCACCCCCGCCCCCCCCTGCTTCTCCCCAAGGAAAGAATCTTGTCTGCAGAAGAGCTCTCAAGAGAACCCCGAAGCAAGAACTGGCTCGTCATATTGCTGAGAACGGTCTTGCCAGCCTCAACGATAGCTGGATGGTAATTATAATATTATGCAATAGCTTTGCTCACACGGAAGGCCTGACCTTGTCAAGGAGAACGTTCACCTCTTGTTCCTTCAATGGACAATATTTTTTAGGAGTGAATGTCATTGCCTTGTTTCCTTTTTCAACTATTCGGGTGAAAGCCATGCTTTTCTTCAATCTCCACACATTTCTTGCCACAGCACTTGGAAACCCCAAAGTGTTTTTATGGAAGGACACGTATAAAAAGTGCAATTTTTCAAAAAACGTTTCTTGTTTCTAGGAAATACATTAATATAAGCAGAGGACTGGAAGGCAAACCTTTCGATTCCTCCCGTGTTCTTGCAACATACAGAAGGTCTCTTTATAATTATGATGACCCTTTTTCACTTTGACTTTTAATTTCAAATCATTATTAAACCTCTTTTGCTCTTGAGTAAAAGAAAACATGTTTTTGTTTCAACTGTATCTTATTTATTTTAAATTAAACATTTACATGTTTCCCCTTGTTAAGAGCACTTTATTTGTGCATCTCATTTCTTAGCTGTTGAATAGGTTGGATGCCAGTTTGGGGATGGGGAGTTGGAGCGTTTTAAGAACCAGAGAAAAGCTGTCGGCCTCAGTTTTCCGATTGTTTTCTGCCCTGATACGGTTATGTATATTTAATATTCACTCCACATCACGTGGCAACATAGGTGACTAATTACATTAACCATCACTACACTGGCAGATTAAAACATCGTGTAAGCTAGTGCCATTATCCTGTGCAGAATTAAATGCCTTATTGGTGGGAGTTTGTACCTATAGGCAGACCTTAACTTACAACCATTTGTTTAGTTCAAAGTTACAATGGCACTAAAGAAATTTGACGTACAAGAAGTATTCACACTTACAATCATGGCAACATCTTCAGGGACTCATGCTCAAAATTTAGGCACTTGACAAGCAGAATGTACAGATAATTCTCAATTTACGACCACAATTGAGCCCCAAATTTTTGCTGTTAAATGAGAAATTAGTGAAGTGAGTTTTGCTTCATTTTACTTTTCCTGCCACATTTGTTAAGTTGAAATGACTGCAGTTGTTAAGTTACTAACTCGGTTGATCTGGCTTCCCCATTGTCTATGCTTGTCAGAAGATTGCAAAAGGGGTTCCCATGACATGACCGTCATAAACATGAACCAGTTGTCCAGCATCCAAATGTAAATCACGTGATCTTGGGGATGCTGCAATGGGCATAAGTGTGAAAAATGGTCATAAGTCACTTTTTTTCAGTGCCATTATAACTTTGAGCGGTCACTAAATGAACTGTTGTAAGTTGAGGACTGCCTGGTATTTATGATGGTTGCAGCATCCCAGGATCATGGGATCTCTACCTTTCCAGGTGTCTTCTGACAAGTCACAGGACAAACTGGATTCATTCAACAACTGCAATGATTTGCTTAAAAGCCATAAAATCAGGGACAACTTAACTGCCTTAGCAACTGAAATTCTGGTCCCTGTTGTGATCATGTTGAAGACTGTTGTATTCTTCAGACTTAGTAATATGCAGTGGTGTTTGACCACAACACCTGTTTGTTTAGTTCATCACTGTTCAAAGGTACAGTGGTGCTGAATGAAAAGGGGAATTTATTACCAGTCCCGGCACGTCCAACACTGCAGTGTTCCTGCGGTCACGAATGCAATAAGGTGCTTGGGAACCAACACGTATTTGTGATGGTTTCAGTGTCCTTGGGGTCACACGTTCATCATCTACCCAAGCAGCTTGCGACAATAAAATTGGACATGACTTAAAGTTAGGTGTGCATTGCTTAGCAGCAGAAGATCCAGTCTCAATTGTGGTCATGAGTCAAGGACTATCTCTACTTTCCAAATATGGAACCTGCCAAGAGTTGGCCACCAAGAGTCAACATTGCCTGTATATTTGGGAAAAATTAATATAATTGTGGGCAGAAGATAGCATTAGTACAGCTATTCATGAGCTTTTAAAGAGTTGATCCTTTTTTTAAAAAGGGGAGTGGAATTTTAAAGTACAGTATGGTTATGAGAATTTTGTTCCCCAAATTGTTGTAAGTTGAGACAGGTTTACTGATAACCTTTTCTGTGTTTGCTTGATTAATATAGACCTTATGTAGAACTGGGACTCCACTCATAAGCCCAATTTCTGTTTTACGCATTCAGAACTTTCTTCCAAAGTCTATTTAAATCTGAACATCATCTCTGTGAAAATTGCCTTTTCCTTTGGTCAAGAGCTAAAAGTCCTGGAGGTTTTTAAGAAGATGGACAACAAACTCTTGCGGATAATTTAATGGGTGTTTTTGGTCATTGAAGAAAGTTGATCTATATGAAGTTTTGGATCCTTTCTAACTCTTCAATTCTATTTTGGTCACCAAAACTTAATATAAATCTACTTGACAACTTACACAGGTTGAGGAACGTGCCTGGAGAGAGTTACAAAGCTTCTTGTAAGGAGGCAGTGGAATATAACTCACAAAGTGGACGTGTTGTTTTACTACTTTTTAGAAAAAAAAATAAGAGTCAAAATATAATCAGTGCTCTGAAGATACTTTCAGCAGTGCATTACAAAATGCAAGACTAGTAAAAAATAAAATCAAGAAAACCATAATATTGGCATATGAGTCAGTTCATCCAACTCCTACTCAGTGTTACATTTACATAAAAGTAATTATTTAAAACTATACTAATTATTTCAAGCACCAGCAATTTCAAAGCTACCTCAAAAAAAAAAAAAAAAGAAATATTGTGGAAATGAAATCCAGGACATGCAACATGAATTTTCTCATATCATGTACAATTAGAGCACAGAGACAGTTGAAGTAATGATCTTTGAAACTGTTTTTGTTAAAGATTAGTAACTGTTGCTCCAGCTTGTAGACCTATTGCAAATGGAGTAATATGTCTGCTATATAAACATAAAGGTCCTGTGCCAACATCTGTAATAGCGGATCAGCATCTCAGGGCTGTATAAAGTTGAAGAACATTTGTATAACCTGAATATCAGTAGGCTGTTAAGGAATTAAGAAGATAGTCTTCAAAATAATTATGTTGGCCCATTCACCAAGTGGAAACAGATGGACTAAGGCTGTAAAAACAGCTTGTAGAAGAAAGGACCAAATATAATGTAGAACCAAGGGAGTCAAAGGGTTAAGCAGGGCGGACACTACTCAAGGTGGTGAGCAAAGACACAGATAGTAGATCACAGCTCAGCCGTGCGGTTATGGACAAAGAAGCATCATTGAGTTAAGCTCTGAGAGAAATTAGAAAACATGCTAATTTACTAATCCACTCCTTCCCAGCTAGAATACCAGAATAATTTATAAGATGGAAATTAAGCCTTTCCTGTCTTCAGTATTCTTAGCCAACAGAATGGTCGCCCAGGAAGTACCCCTCAGCCTTTCTACTGAGCAGTTTTTAACATAGTTTCCTTTAGTAAATCATCTTAATATGTTCAGTTGCTTACTGGTCCACTAGGGTGAATTCTGCCTCTAACTTCTTTGGGTGATCCTATGAGCTGGATCTCTACCCTTCTCTTTCCTTTTCACTCCACCACTTCTGAATAATTCTTCTGTTGGTGAATTAACCATAGCTATGACTAAGCCGAGGGATGATTGTTATCAGAGTGGAACACATTAACTGTTCACAACTGTTACTTGAAGTTGGTTTGCTACCCACCTAGTTTCTCAGTCTGGATGCATCATGAAACTGATGCATGAGCCCAGAAAGCATTCAGATGTCCCAACACAGAAAGGAAGGAGTGGTCTCATCAGATAAATTCAAGTTATATTTTGGCATCTGAGCCAAGATTTGTCATTGTCAAGAGGGTCTGTGATTAGCACCACTGAATGCCACAAAAGAATACTACTTGCGGTACATTAACAAATAAGCTGAGAGGTTCTGAAACATTTGTAAGAAAACCTTACACACAGAGTAGCAACAATGCTGGATTAACATTCTTGGGCTGAATAATCAAGCAGGTGAAATCAAATTGCACCATCCCCATAAAAATTCTTCATCTTCAAAAGATGCACATTATCATTCTTTTAATAGGCCTGTTCCTCGTGTTATGGATGAAAATCCCACTATTTTCCTCTCCTAACAAGTTTCTTTTATTTTATTGTCACTTCACTGTTTAATAGGCAAGCTTTGATCAATGTTGTTAACTGTTTCACAAACCTGAACCTTCAAATCTGATCATAACCATTGATCATAGAACAGAAACACTTCTAGACAGCCAACTAAGTTATTTTTAGGCCTTAAAATAAGCAGCTAACTTAAGATGAATATAATGATTATAAGTGTGTGCATGCAGGCAAAAACATTTGTGAAATTCCTGACATAGTCTCGAATCCTTAACGCGAAAAGACCTTAAGAGTCATAATCTTGAGAAGAAATCTTTGCTCAAGATCCGTGTATCTTGTGAAAAATCAGTGAATGTGGCAGTTGAGAAGGCAGAAAAGGGCTTTGAGGTAGCCAGGAAGATAGAAACAAGGGGGAAAGATAGCACCATATTTTGATGGAGACAAGAGGGCTCTGGGGAAGATTTGGGAAGATGGCAATTGCCCAGCTGGGACACAAATGCTGATTTCTTGGTCTTAGAAGAATAAGGTCTCATGTCCCGGCCTTCGCTACAAATTTTTCATGCAGACTTGGCACCGTCCCACCCGTGTCCGGAGCTGACCCGCCTTCAGCGTTTCGGAGACGGGAGACTCAGCAAACTGATGGTTCGCCTCCACCGTGGTCAGCCAAAAGCTGTACTTGTTGGAAAAATAATGGCACGTCCCCCGGGCACCGTTGCACTCAATGAAAGGCGTGGCGCGGAAGTCCTCCAGGCAGGATCCGGGAGAGACCAGGGACTGGCCACCGCCTTCGGCAGCCGTGTGCTGAAAGAAAGCACCCCGAGAGAATGATGGTGCAAAGAATCGTATCAACTGCTACGGAAGGTCAAATGCAAATATCTGAGTCAACAGTGCCCTATAATGGCCAGTTTCTGAAGGGGGGAAAAATCAGCATGGCTTGGCCCAGTTGACCGCAGACAACTGGCTTTGAGAGTCACAGCCAAATTCGAATCACTGGAACCAAAAAGAGACTGGGCACACATTTGACCAGGAATGGTATAAGGCAGAGGTCTCCAAACTTGGCCACGCTATGCTGGCTGGAGAATTCTTGGAGTTGAAGTCCACAAGTCTTAAAGTGGCCAAGTTTGGGGACCTCTGCTATCAGGTGTCCTGCCTTGAGGTTGGAGTAGAAGCCCCATGATTCTAAGCTCATACGAAAATTGCTATTTTGTTTTCCCTGCTGTTAAAAGCCTCACTGGCTGTGGCCAGGCAGGCTAGGAAAGTTTAAAAAGTAAAGACTCTTAACAAACAGCAAAGCCTCTTTTTTAAATATTTAACTCCATGAACTCGCCCCCAAATTAAAGGCGTTAAAGTGCAATCCCAAAGATAACTGGTCTTTCTTGGGGTGGGGTGGGGGAGTTTTTTCTTAGAAAAAGTTTTGCTTTTCACCCAAGAAGCTTCTTCAGTTCTAGTTATGGGTAACCACTATAAATTCTTACTTCTATTTGACCCAGGATACATATGTGGTAGGTGGAGCTCCATCCAACGATTTAGCTGAATTGGCTAAGGACTGTTTCTCCTGTTCTCCAGCATCTGTTGCCACAGGGGGCTGCTTCACTTTGCTTAATCATGGGAGCAGCCCCTAAGTGAGGTGTAGCACGCTAGGCACCTCATATATCCTGCCCACCTACTACTCTTTTGCAACGCCTCCTTGGGCCTCTAATTTGGAAACTTGAGGAGGCAAGTATCTTTCAGGAGGCTGGAGATCATATGATCGTGTTTAATATTAAATAATAACATGCTTATGAGACGGCTTGGTTCCCATATTGTATTTGAGCATGGGATTTCGAAGCAAAAATGTGAAATATGAAGCAACTTCAACGCAGGACCTCCCCTTTCGACTGTGTTTTATGGGATAGCTGTGATGTTATGAAATATGAAAGTGCCTGTCCTCTTTTTTCCCTTTGGTCATTTTGAAATGTTTTTTTTTTCTTGTCCTGTTGGCTGTTTGGAAAAAGCACCTTTGGGATAACCATGACATGGATGATTAACAACCTCCATACACACTTGGCCGTTAAGTGGCAATTGGGAAGAGGCACCGTTGGCCTGAAGATCTCCCGGCTAGACAGGCCCTGCCATGCGCTCTGTGCACAGGCGCTCTGTGCATATGCACTGAAAGGATGTTCATTCCCACCCGTGGGCATCCCTTCTGGGATTTCTTACCATGAGGAAGGAGTAGCCAATCCAGAGACTCCGCCAGCCTTCAGGACATTGCGGAATGGTGATGTCCTGGCTGTGCACAGCCACGGCTTGGGATGGTGCTTCGCACACCGAGCAGCGACTGATGTACTGGGCGATTTGGTAGCTGCTGACGGGCATCATGGGTATCGGAGCGGTGGTGGAAAGCCAGTAGGATTTGTCATTGCGGCTGGCGTAGTAGCACACTTCGTCAATGTTGCAATAAATAAAAGGCATAGTGCTGAAGCGAGGCAGGCAGGAGCCAGCAAAACCTTGGAGAATGGAGAAGCAAAACATGAAGTGGAGCATTAAGAAGGACTCTCATTTCTGCAGCTGCGACGGTCAGAATACAGGTAGTTCCTCAACTTACGATCATAACAGGGCCCCAAATCGGTATTGCTCAGGAAGGGAATGGTTATGTGAGTTTTGGCCCACTTTAACGACCTTTTTAATCACAGTTATTAAGTGAATCCCTATAGTAGTTGAGCGAATCATGTAGTTCTTAAATGAATCTGCCTCCCCCGTTGATTTGGCTTGTTGGAAGCTGGCTGGGAAGGATACAAATGGTGATGACAAGAACAGTGGAACAGTCGTAAGTACATGCCAGTTGCCAAGTGCCCGAATTTTGATCACGTGACCTTGGGGAGGCTGCAACGGTGATAAGTGTTAAAACCTGTCCCCTGTCATTTTTTCCAGTGTGTCACAACTTTGAACAATCACTAAACAAATGGTTGGAATTCAAGGACTGCCTGCAAGTGTGGTGTGTTCAGAAGCCAGCTGCCTGAAAAGTCTCAGCTCCTTGACCTATGATCACAACTGGGACTGGGATTTGGGGAAGTAGCCCGGGGTAACTTTAAAGATGGGTTGTAAATCTGTTGTAACTTAGAACAGTCACTAAATGACTGCTCATAAATCTGTCATGATTGCATAACACTTCATTCTTCATTCTTCAGTTAGACTGTGTTAGGCCATATAGACAACTTCTGGACTGTAATTAACACATTTATTGGACTTCCTTTCCTTCCCTTCCCTTCTCATCTCTCTCTTCTTCTGTTCCTTTTCTTTCCTTTCCTTTTTCCTTCCCTTTCCATCTCTCTCTCTTCTTTTCCTTTCCTTTCCTTTCACTTTCCCTTCCCTTCCCATCTCTCTTTTCTTCCTCCCTTCCCTTTCTCCTTTCCTTCCCTTTCCTCTTCCCTACCCTTCCATTCCCCTCCTTCTCCCTTCCCCTTCTCCTTCCCTATTGCAAAATCATCTTCTCTTTCATGAATGGAAGGATTCTTTCCTGCCCTCTTATTTTTCTGTGGTTTCCCCTTGTTTTCAGCTGGACACGTGGCTCACCCAGGTCTTGATTGTGGGACTTCTCCTGGCCCTCCACATACAGCAAACTGTAGCCGTCCCAGAGTTTGTTCATGCCCACCGGACAGGGTGGGATCTGGTCCGACTGGCTATGTTTCACCAAGGTATAGCCAACCCCAATGCTACGACCTGGCATCCCGGGCAATCCAGCCAGGCCTGGATTCCCAGGACGTCCTGCAAAGAGAGATCAGTCATTAATCAGACATTATCTGACCGTTTTTATAGCGCTCCCAAGTCAAAAGATGCTAATCTATGTCAACTTACCTTCAAACCCTGGTAGTCCTGGCGTTCCTGGGGAACCTGGGTCTCCTACCACACCAGGTGGACCTGGTAAGCCATTAAATCCCATCTGGCCAGGTATGCCTGCTTTTCCTTTTGGACCTGGTCATTAGCATAAAATGTTTGTCCCATTCATTTATGATAACCCTTTCAATTCAGAAGTCACAAGAGATAGATACCCTTAAGAACAGACCAGATTATCTTGGCTTGGAACCAGATACGTCTAGTCTAATGAAGAGAAGGACTAAGGGAGACATGACTGCTGTCTTCCAATATTTGAGGAGAGCTGCCGCAAAGAAGGAGGGGAATTCCACCTATTTTCCAAAGCACCTGAGGGCAGGCCAAGAAACAATGGATGGAAACTAATCAAGGAGAGAAGCAACCTAGAATCAAGGAGAAACTTCCGGACAATGAGGACAATTAATCAGTGAATTTGTCTGCCTCTGGAAGTTGTGGGTCCTTCATCACTGGAGGGTTTTAAGAAGAGATTGGACAGCCACTTACATGAAATGGTATAAGTTGGACTAGAACAGTGGTTGCCAACCAGTGGGCCGGGGACCACTGGTGGTCCATGGAAAATTTTTAGTGGTCCGCAGAGAAATGTCACCCCCAAAACAATTAATCCAGGCTGTATGAGAACACAAGGCTGTGCTGGCCACATGGCCCGCGGGAACACAAGGCTTGCATCCCTTGCATTGCACACAACATGAAGTAATGAGGGGAGGGGGGAAAGGGCGAAGTGGGGGAACTTGCCCCACTCGCCTGGTCTGGTCACCGGGCTGCTTCTTTCCACTTCTCTCTTCTGCTTTTGGTTGCACGCAAGGAAAGCAGCAAAAGTATTTCTTTCTCCCCACCTAAACTCTGCCAGAAATGAGTCTTTGGGACCCTGCAAGGCCTCCTGCTCCAAGAGGCTGAGCCAGTACTACAAGTCTCACAAAGACTCGTTTCTGGCGGAGTTTGGAGGAGAGAAAGAAAGTCGTCTACTGCTTCTGCTGCTTTCCTTGCATGAAGCCAAAAGTCAGTCAGTCAGTCTCTCTCTCTCTCTCTCTCCCTCCCTACCTATTGACCTATCTATCAATCTATCATCTATCTATCATCTATCACAAGGGTCTTCAAACTTTATCATCTCTCTCCCTCTCCCTCTCCCTCTCTCTCTCTCTGTTTTCTCTTAGAAGCCAGTACCCAGAGCATTCTGTTTTAAGCTTGAAGGTCTTTGTAAATAACCACAGGAAGATGGATTCTCCAAGGATCTTTGAGAGACCACCTTCTCCAGAGTACCAGCTTTGCATGCCCCCATTTCTATGGACAATGTAACTTGTTTTACCTTGTGGTCCAGTTTGCCCCTGGAAGCCAGGGTCTCCATTTAAACCAGGGTTGCCATTATTTCCAGGCAATCCGATTAAGCCAGGAGGAACTTTGATCTCTTCTGGTGGTTGGGTTATGCCTGTAGCTCCTTGCAGCCCAGGAGAACCTATATAACACAGAGGAAGGGTGACTTGTAAAATGACGTTCATGGGACACCCTACCAATTTGGTTAGAAAATCCGAGGTCATATTTTTCTGTCACTATTACAGTGGACAACCTGCAACAATCAAGCAATGAATTGCTAAAGTGTAGAACGTTCCTCCCTTCCAACTGTTTCTCCTGACTTCAATCTGCAGTGAAAGATGTCTCAACCCAGAGAATCCACCACATCTTCAACTTTTTAAAAAAGGCCATAGTTAAAAAAAAAAGAGAGAGATCTAAAATAGATCAAGAATGCCTGAGAAAGAAGAGGAATGTCCTATAAAATGGCACGTCTGTTTGTCTGGAACCCCAAATGTAGCACCCAGGGAAGCAGTGACCATGTCTGGACCACCATGGTCTCCTGAACTGATATAGGAAGCAAAGTTGCCTAAATTCTGAACTTCGGTAAACATCTCTACCATAACTTCAACTTTAAAACAAACTTGAATTTGGGGTTCATCCTAGATTCCAGGATGATGTCAAGCCCAGTAAAATTAGGGACGCAAGAACTATAGAATAGAGATTTCGGTAAGACATCTTATGTGCTCAACATTGCCTGAGTTGAGTTCAATTTATGAGATATGGACCTTCAGCCCCTGAATCGCTTGTGTCTGCTTTTTCCTCCAATCGTTGCCTGCTTTCTCAAAAACAGTACATAGCTAATCATCTGTCTGATGCTCATGCAGTAGTTCTCAACTTATAACCCTAATAGAGCCTGCCCATTACAGTCGTAAATCATAAAAGTTGTAAAACAGGTCACCCAAGTGGTCAACTTGACTTCATGACTTTATTTTTGCAGTGGTTATTAAGTGAATGTGGAGATTGTAAAGCAAACCGATCGTTTCGTCTGAGCTGGTTTTGCTAAAAATCAGAAGTAAATGATGGGATTTTGACAAAAACACTCTAAAATGTGGTCATTTGGCCATCAAGATGCTATAAATGGGTACTGGTTGTCAAGAGCCTAAAATGTGATCATGTGACTGCAGGGAGTAAGGCTGCTGGAATCTTGAGCCTGGGAAGGTTCATCGTAACTTCTTCAAGTGATTGCTGTGTGATCCGCTGCCTAAATTGAGGACTACCTGTATGGTTTGATCTGGAGTTACGTGCATTTGCCAAGACTTACCTGGAGGGCCTGCTTTGCCTTTTGGCCCAGGGAAACCTGGATCACCTGGCAGTCCATCTTTCCCAGGCATTCCCATGAAACCTGGGTCCCCTCTGAATCCTAAGAAGAAACGAGAAAGATCCAGAGGTTGACTTTTGAACCAACCTTCTAAACTAGACAGAGCTTGGCTGCTAGAAAGGTCCGTTGATTGACTTCTGCTGGTGACCTTCTACTGCTGTACCATAGTGAGCATTTTAACTTACTTCACCTGTGTATGGTTTGCCAATTGCACAGGGGCAGATAGGACAGCACTCCAGAGGGTTAACGTCATTGCCCAGAAGATCTTTGGTTGCCCTCTCCCCTCTTTGGAAGAGCTTTATAGCTTCCGCTGCCTTAAGAAAATTCAAAACATTCTCAAAGATCCATCTCATCCTGAGAACCCTTTCTTTTTTCTTTTTGAACTATTCCCATCTGGCAGACGGTACAGAATAATAAAAACAAGGACAAGAAGGCTGAAAATCAGCTTCTATCCCAGAGCAGTAACTATAGTGAATTCTACTGTATAGTGCAGTATTAGTACAATATCAGGTTTTCAATTCAATTGTATAGAATGTGAAGGATGTGTGTTTATGTTTTATTTTTATAGTTATATGTACACTGAAGATGGCATTTAATTTCGTTGTATGAGGTGCAATGACAATAAAGTAAACTAAAACTAAATTAAGGAGAACTGAAAATTCATCTGATTTGGTAGCTTGTCTTTTGTAACTTATTGGCAAACACTGAAGTTGCTCTGATATCTCTTGCCAGACTATATGACAAAAAACGGGAACCCAATTTGGAGGCCTTTGAGGATAAATTCCATTTTTACTATTCTTGTAATCCCTTAATTCAGGGTAGAGTTGAGGTGACTGAATGGAGCTGAGCGTTTACTGGCCAGATGCCCTTCCTGATGCCGTGTGGAGTTTGCAGTAAATATTTTCTGTTAGCCCCTGAGAAACGTGTGCCTCTACCTAGGGTTGAGCCTTCATAATACTCATCAGGCTCCAAATACCAAGAAAGACATACTGAAGTTCTCAGCAGTTTCCTTTATTGTTCCTCACCCATAGACAGACTCTTGCCAAACTAAAGCAAACTACTTACACTATTAAATATATATTGAGAACACCTAGGGGGGAGTCGTCTTCACCCTCTTTCTCCCACGCAAACTATGTAAACTTCATTGTGTCTTGCTCATCTGCAATGTAGCCCCTCCCTCTTGGGAATCCAGACTACATTCCACTACATCTCCTCACCTTTGAAACCTGATGCACCAGGGATTCCGTTAAGTCCAGGGATGCCTGCATCGCCTTTGAGGCCTGGGAAGCCCGGAGGACCAGGGCGGCCTGGATTACCTCGATCACCTTGATTGAAGGCTGGTCCTGGTGGTCCTGGTGGTCCACGAGGTCCTTGGAAGCCTGGGTAAAGAAGAACCAAGGAGATGTAGTTGCCAGTCAGTCCTTGGTCTGCTGAGAGCTCTGTTATACAAGAAACCTTTAACTCATTCCAGCAGCTCCAAATCCTGAAATTGTATCCATGTGTTGCCTAGAAAGTTCTTGAGAGGCTCCTTTAAAAATGATTGTAAGTAGTTCTCATTTAGCAACCATAATTGGGGGCGGCCTCTTGGTCGCTAAGTGAAACTGTAACGGTGCTTATTATGATCTGGCTTCAGCTTTCCTTTGGTTTACAGACCCGAGAAGGTCATAAATGTGAGGAGTGATCACAAAGTTATCTTTTTTTTCATTCCTGCAAATAGTGGCTAAATGAGGCAGCTGCTAAACAAGGACTACCTGTATTAAAAAGTAGATCTTCCAACATGGCTACTTTAGGTACAAAGCATCAAATGAAAGGACCTTAGCCCGTTTTCATTTGGCCCTTCAGAGAAGGCTAATAAAAATAACAAAACATCTGGAGCATCACGTGAACACTTATTGGCATTGGCAGAATCGACCATCCATCAGTTGCAAAAGACAGCTTTGTTTCAAACAGATTATTTATTCCTGCCACTCATACCATCCACTTTCCACATCTGCCTATCTCAAGTCCTTGGGATGGACGCGATAGGTGGATAAAAATCCCCAATAGGATCTGAACATCTGGCTGAGGGTTGACCAACCATAAGAAAAACCATAACCCCAACACATAACTTTTCTTGTATTTGGAGACAGCATGAATTCCTGGTAGGCTCAAACACCTGACAATCCACCAGAGCTCAGAAATTAGTGACTTTAAGAGACCCGGAACCAAACGCGTGTTAGTTATGTTTCCCCAGCATGCTTGGCACGGAATTAAACCATTATTCTAGGTTTCAGCAATACATTGAATGAAAAGTTAACCTTGGGGCTTGAGTTTGTTCATCAGGCTAAGCCACAGCTAACCAAGTTTAATATGTCCTGGGAACGCAGGTGCTAGTTTTGTGAATTTCACTGTATGTATACAATGTATATATACGTACAATGGCAATCAAGAATTCAATTCAATTGTAACATGTTATGTGACCGCTGTCATTGTCTCATGATCCAGCTTAATTTTTCCTTGTGACCTTTTTTCTGTAAGTAAATAAAGTTATCATCTTTTTTATGTTTTAAAGTAGGGTTTCATGGGTTTTATTTCTGAACCAGAGTGCATTCAGTCATGGTTATTAAATAAATGACAACTGGCTGAATTTGCAACTACTCCAGACCATAAATCATGACTTATTAGCCACAGTGGTTAGATTCACACATGCACAAGATGTCAATGCATCAAATATTTCTATGGTCTTTTTAGAGTTGCCAACAGAAAGGGAAGGGAGAGCAGTGTAGCAGATTGCAAACCGAAACTGCATTCCATAAATGTTTTCAAAGATAGTAACTAGGTGACTGAAGTTTTTGCTGTGCAAAATTCTAACTGGAGGACACGATTGATGACTCTAGGCTATGGATGTGTCCCATTGGAGAATATGAATTATGATACACCCATGGAGTTGGGGGAAAACCAGGGTCAAGGGTGACAATGAATGATGTGTCTCAGAGTTGGCTACACCCAGGCAATGCCGGACATGTTAACTCCCAATAAATCCTTTTGAAGTTTTGGAAGTTTGACTCGAGACTCATGATTTAAATGGGGCGGGGGGTAACTGCCGGAATCCTGACACAAGGGAGGCTACCCCAGCATGTTTGTAAATGAGGTCTTCCTGTAAAAACCCATCCCCAAGCTCGCTACTTCCATACCTGGCAGCCCATCTTCTCCAGGACGTCCCGCATCACCAGGCTTCCCAGGAATCCTTGAAGGCACAGAGATGCCAGGGGGGCCTCGCGCACCAGGGACACCTGGGCTTCCAGGAAGACCTAAAATGACATAAACAAACTTTCCCAGACTCTATAATTGACTAAGTGATGGTCATGTTGAATTTGAAACTGCTGATTCTGCTTAGAGGAAAAAGCCAAAAACACGAGGCAGATCCAGAAGATGGAGTGACAACATCAAAGGCACCCTACCGAGGCCCCCAGAAATGCAAGAACCAGACCTTTCGACACCTGAAGTGGTAAAAGAGAAGAAAGAAGAAAGAAGGAAAGGAGGAGGAGGAGGACGGGAAGAAGAAGAAGGAGAAGGAGAGGAATTCTGCTACCGTAAGTATCACTATCCGTGGACAATCTCTCTCTCTCTCTCCCTGAAAAAAGGCAACCAGATACGAACTGGGCATACTCAGAGGAGCTACAAACATTCAGGGTTTGGAAGGAAAATTAGGCATGGGGAAAAGGAGAATGCAATGGAATATCACAGAAGAAAATATGGCTAGATATAACTCAGGAAAGATCTTGCATGCTTCTTACTACAGCTTATGATCCTTTCTCCTCCATCAACAGCCAGTCATGGCTTCCACACTCACCCAAATATATTGTCCGAACAATTACAGGGGGTAAGTAGAGTTGGAGTAGATTGGTATTTGATGAACTGTGGTGGCACAATGGTTAGAATGCAATACACAAGCTACTTTTGCTGACTGGCAGCTGCCAGCAGTTCTCAACTCAATTCTCACTGGCTCAAGGTTGACTAGGTAAACCACTTAGACAGGGCCGTAAAGTGGTGTATAAGTCTAAGTGCTATTGCTGTTTGCCTATTTGGCTGGAGGACTACAGGTAGCCCTCAACTTACAACAGTTCATTTAGTGACCGTTCAAAGTTACAATAGCAATGAAAAACGGGGCTTATGACCGTTTTTCACAGTTACGACCTTTACAGCACGATCATGTGATCAAAATTCAAATGCTTGGCAACTGGTTCAGACTTACAACTATTGCTGTGTCATGTCATCACTTTTTGTGACCTTCTCACAAGCAAAGTCAGTGGGGAAGTCAGCCTCATTTAACAACCGGGTTACTAACGTGTCAACTGCAGTGATTCACTTAACAACTTGTGGAAGGAAAAGTCAGAAAACTCACTGAACAAATGTCTCACTTAACAACCCAAATGTTGGGCTCGTGGGATGAGGACTACCTGTACCAGTTTAAGTTCACAGCTGTAGGCCAGGCCAACAAAAGAAGGGAAAAGAAACCCAGAAAGCAGCAATGGCAGATTATATCTGCGCACATTGCCAAGACATCAAAATGGATGTTATCATAAGGCATGAAGCTTGCCTTTTCTTTCCAAGATTAATTCTGCCAGTGAATTTATCTGAGCCCTCAGAAGGAGAGATTCTCCTCATTCTCAGCAAATTTTAAAATCTTTCCATTCCATTTCATTGTTGAAAGGAAAGGGGAACCCTAGTTGTCCTTTTGAGTATAACAACAGTAATAAATAATCTATTAGAATTAAATATCGAGTATTTGAATATTAAATACTTGGCTTTATCATACTTGAGTAAAGTATTCATGACAAGAGTCCTACAAGTTTCATGTGGCTTATTTTGCAGTGGAGCATAAAGGAGTCCTTTGGATATCTTCTTGACAAGCTCAGGTGGAGGTAAGATCTGAACCAGGGTCATCTCCATCTTAATAATTCTTGACATCATTTGTGATCATTTGAATGCTGTTACAGCTCTTGATGCTATTCAGCTATAGCAGGGGTGTCAAACTCAAGGCCCGGGAGTCAGATCTGGCCCATGGGGTATTTCGATTTGGCTCATGGGGCCACCCTGGAAATAGCAAAGGACCAGCCTGCGGTGCCTCTGCCAGTGAAAACGGAGCTCGGGAGGGCCACAGGCAGCCCTCGCCAGCTCCGTTTTGGCTGGCAGAGGGTTTGCAGGAGGCTGTCGCAGCCAAAAACAGTGTTCGCAAAGACTGCGGGTGGCCCTCCTGAGCTCCATTTTCACTGACAATTGCAGGACCCCATTTTTGTGGGAAGAGCGCTCGGGCCACCACAGGCGCCCTCAACGTGAGTGACATCGAGCTGGCCACGCCAGTGGTGGGATTCAAATTTTTTTACTAATGGTTCTGTGGGCGTGGCTTGGGGTGTGTGGCTTGGGGGGGGCGTGACATGGGTTGGTGGGTGTGGCAGGGGAAAGATACTGTAAAATCTCCACTCCCACCCCACTCCTCGGGGAAGATTGCCACCGGTTCTCCGAACTACTCAGAATTTCTGCTACCGGTTCTCCAGAACTGGTCAGAACCTGCTGAACACCAACTCTGGGCCAAGCCCACCCTAGCCAAATCCACTCTGGCTCCCCGAGGTCAAACACAACCCTGATGCGGCCCTCAATGAAATCAAGTTTGACACCCCTGAACTATAATATCCACTCGCTTATAACTTCTATTATTTACCCATTTCTCCTGCAGGTCCTTTTGATCCACGAAAGCCAGGAGTTCCACCCTGGAAACCTGGGTCACCTCGTTGACCTTTGACACCTGGAATTCCTGCCGATCCAGGCAGTCCATTTTCACTCGGGCCTAATAAAATTAGAAAAAGCACGAACAGCAGTTTGATCCGGACACTGTTTACTAAAAAGTGACAATCCTTGATGATTGACATAAATCACAAGGAACCAAATTGTGGAAGCTGGAAAAACATACTCCTGTTTCTGTAGCTCTGATACTTCAGAACTTGGCTTCAAAATGGGAGAAAGCAAAACATGGCTTTTAAGAATCTGCAGGAAAAGGATTTGAAGGGCCCAAAGCTTTTAGATGTTTCTGCAGAGAGCAGTCAAATACTAAAACATAGCTGATAACATCACCACCCAACAGTCTCTATTTGTGGAATTCAACAGTCTCTATTTTTTTGAATTCAAACTTGATTGTTTGCTTGCAGATGTTTTGTTACCCAACAGATAATATCATCAGTGCTTGTCACTCACCTTGATAGCGATTTGCACTGATGAGGTTACCTAGTTGAGTAATGAAATGTCTACAAGTCAACAACCAAGGTTGGAGAGCACCAAGAACTCCACAGTTCAACCCCGAGCTACAGAAATTTTCTTCTATCGGCGTCACACAATTGTATTAGAGATTGGACAAAACTAGCCATTTAAGGGATGAGATTACTGCATTTTGTGTCAACCCTGAAGCTGACCTGACTGAGGCCATTTTGAGGCTTCAGTGTTGCCACACTGGAGTTTTGGGAAAGTTCGGGGGGAATAGAGATAGCTGGGTGTTTTGGAGCCAAAACAAAATAGTTTCTCCTGGAAGGAGGAGTGAAGTTACCAGGCCACCAGATGGTACCTTGATTGCACCGTGTGACTGATTGTTTGGGGGAAGGGAAAAAACTTTTAATTAGGTAAAAACCACAGGAATATTCAGAGTCGGTTTTCATCAGCCTGTGCCAATATGATATAGCAAATAAAACTGTTCTTTGAGGAATCGTCCTGCCTCAGAGTTCTGTTCGTTATGGGTGTATTACTTGGAACCCTGACATTTTGATCTTACTGTGGAAGTTTCTAAGGATCTTTTGATTTACCTTGTTTTCCGGGAGAGCCTTTGGTGCCCGGTAAGCCATTTAGACCGCTCAGTCCTGGGAATCCTGGGTATCCTGTAGATACATTTTAGAAGGTTTGATACTATTTTGGTGGTTACTAAGAAAATGCTGTTGAGACTGCTGTATATTTATTGCTTTTATTTACCATAGGAACATAGTAGATGTTTGGCCAAGAAACCTGCTGTTGTGGTCCGACGGCAGCCTGTAGAGAGGCAGCAGAGTCGGACAGTGGGGAGGAACATGGGCTAGTCCAGGAGTCTGGGGAAGACTCGGAAGAGGGTCCTGTGTCCAATACAGAGATGGGGGGCAGGGGCAGGGTCATCTGGGGGTTATGTGCTGACTCGGAAGCCTCCAGAATCTGACAGCAGTGAGGCAGAGGAGCAAGGGGATCCTGTTTCCAGTGCGTGTGTGCACAGAGCTGCCAGAAGGCAAGAGCAGCTAAGACAAAAGGGGCAACTTGGGAGTAAGGCTTGGAGGTGATTGCCCTTCCCATAAGACATAAAGGAGGAGCAAAGGGACAGGAACCTTTGCAGGAAGCAACTTTGTTCACACTGGTTTGTTTGAAACCTGAAGCTCTGTGTTGAATTTGTGCTCTGTTTGGCCTTGTATAACTAATTGGAAATTTAGTCATTGGCAGCATTTCAAGGAAGATAAAGGTGCGGGATTATCAGACTTATCCTGAAGGACTTTGGCAGACTTCCATGGGACAATTTACAAACTGTTTGAGACTCATTATGGGATGTGAATGAATAAAATTCGCAGCCTTTGAAATAAAGAAAAAATTTTGGGACTAATATGTGTTTGTTAGTGTCTCAATAAGCCTTGGTCAGAACACCTGCAAGGAACCTTACAAAGGTAACTTCGACAGCAAAAATCAATTCAGTGACATAATGAAAGGCTCACGGTGACAATACCAGATAATGTCAAGATCACACAGGTTTTTCAAAGGAGTTGAGAAATCTTGCCCAACTGTGTGTCAAAACAAGAAACGAAAATCTTGGAAGTAGAATCCTATACAGTAAGACCCTGTCTTATATGTCAATGAAGACTCAATCATCTAGACCAAAGGTGTCTAAAGGTTGAATCATGGCGATTGGACCAAGCTTTATTCATGTGAGATATTTTGTTGCTCATCCAAGCAACACCATCAAAGACCCTGCCCTACGTCCTCATGTATAAATCCAGCTCATCAACCCTGAAGTAGGAATGGCTTGTTGGGATTGATGAATCAAGGACACTTAGCAGTCATCCATTGTGGGTTTCTCCCTGATCCCATTGCTAACTCCCAATTGCTGTTAATAAGTGAAGGAAAAGGAAATCCATCCTTCTTCTCCAGACGGATGATCCACTGATTCCTCTCCAGTGTTATGCCAAGAATCTTTGCAAGTTTTGATTTGGCCTTCCAACCCCCAATCTGAGTTTCTCTCTTGAAGTAAGGTTTTCAAGAATAACCCCAAAATGCGAAACAAACCTTTTGGTCCTACAGTGCCAGGAGATCCAGGAAATCCTGGGGCCCCACGTTGCCCAGGATTACCTGGAAAACCTGGGTTGCCCCTAGAACCACCAGATCCAGGAAAGCCTAAAGAGGGGAAAAACAAAGAACTATTTAAAATTGAGCTCTTAAGATTGCAGAATATATATCTCCATAATGTTAAAACCTTCAGAAGCTGGGAGTCTTGCTCAACTGAACTCAATGCAATGAGTTCCAAGGACACAAGTTTAGAATTAGTGAATGGAAGCACAGAATCAAATTACTAAGTACTTAGCATTTATTTAAATTTGCAGCTTGTATTGAGTTACAACATAAAGTAATGTAAGGAAGTTTCTAGGGTTTTCCCATCTAGGCACTGACCAAATCTAATCCATCTTAGTTTCAGCCAGATTGGATAAACCAAATCTCTTTCTTGCTTTCAGAATAGAGTGGGAAGGGGCCTAGGAGATGATCTAGTTCGCCCCTCTGCTCAAGCAGGAGACTTTATATCATTTCAGACAAATGACTGTCCAACCTCTTGTCACAAAGCTCCAGGAATGAAGCACCCACAACATCATTCCACCTTAAGTCAAGGTAAACTCTTGGTTGCTATGTGGGTACAAAGTTTTGTGGCAACAACACAGAAGTGATATGCCACGTCTTCTTCTGGGATGTGCTTTCAACCGAGCTTGTGAGATTTCCAAGACAAAGGAAAGGATGAGATTTGAACAATCTTGCATGATAATTTATGTATCCTTCAATTTTGCAGACCTCTTGGTGAAAGTTCTGGAGAAGTTTGTGGATGCAAAAAAAACACCTCCTAGTCCCTCTGCATTAAAAGATCCACCTTGCAAAGGACATGTCTCAGCCCCAAACACGATAAAACAAATGGCTTTGGTTACCTCGTGGTCCTTCTTGTCCAGCATCACCTGGTAGACCTTTCTGCCCATTTGGTCCAAGACCTCCTGGATATCCTGGGTCACCGCTTGTTCCTTGGATACCTGCTATACCTTCAAAAACCATAAGACGAACCATTAAATTGCCATCTTCCCCAACCTAGGAAATTTTTGGAGTTGAAAATTGGTACCCTTGTCTAATTTTTGGAGGTTTTCACAACGCTTAAGATGAATGAACTTGGTATGTCCATGGGATAAAAAAAAAAACCTTCTAAAATCATGAGTGGGAATTTACTCTCTTTTTAGCCAGAAATGGCTAAGGCTGAACTGACAAATATCTATTCGTAAAGCATGGCTACCCAACCACACTGTGGGACCACAGGGGCTTCAGTTGGCAAGTACTGACATCCATTCATTCACTCATTTCTAAGGAGCCTCAAGAAGTTAACACTGATCCCATAAGAAAGTTGGTGTCAGCAGCAAAGGATCAGGACCATAAGTTAAATTGCAATTCAAAAGGCCTTATTGCTCAAGCCTTCACACAAGAAAGCTAGGCAACTAAAGTTCAATACTAAATTGGCACCAGATAAGGTTCAATGGAATTCAAGAATAGAATAGAATTCTTTATTGGCCAAGTGTGATTGGACACACAAGGAATTTGCCTTTGGTGCATAAGCTCTCATGAACTGTTTGTGGCAATGTTAATGATTCTAAGCTGATGACATTCTTAACTCCACCCCCAGGTCTGCCTGTTGTTCTCCTACAGGTGGACGTTTAATTCATGTACTAATAAAAGTAATCTGTTGTAGTCCGTCGGCGGCCTGCGGAGCTGGCAGCAGAGTCGGACAGTGGGGAGGAACATGGGCCAGTCCTGGAGTCTGGGGAGGGCTTAGATGAGGGATCTGCGTCCAACACAGAGATGGGGCCAGGGCCATCTGAGAGTTATGGCCTGACTCCAGAGCTTCCAGAATCTGACATCAGCGAGGCAGAGGAACAGAGGGAGCCTGTTCCCAGTGTGCGCTTGCACAGAGCTGCCAGAACGCAAGAAAGTTAAGACAAAGGGGCGACTCGGGAATAAGGCTTGGAAATGATTGGCCCCTCCCATATGACATAAAAGAAGAGCAAAGGGACATAAGCCTTTGCAGGAAGCAACTTCGTTTGTTCTGGTCGGTTTAAACTCTGAAGTTCCCTGTTGACTTTGTGCTCCATTTGGCCTTGTACAGCTAATTGGCAATTCAGTCATTTCAAGGGAGATAAAGGTGGGTGCTTATCAGTCTTATCCCGAAAAGACTGTGGCAGACTTCTGTTGGACTCTTCACAAACTGTTTGGGACTCATTACAGGCCGTGAATGTTGAAATAAAAACAAGGTGTTGGGGAATAGCGTGTGATTGTTCCTTTCTCAGGAAGCCTTGGTCAGAACATAAACTAAGGTAAGCCTACTACTTTCCCTTCCTTGAGTCACTGTAGGGGATTGATTTATTTACCTTGAAACCCTCGGTCCCCTCGTTGGCCCTTAGGTCCCACACCACCTGGAATTCCTCGGGATTCCCCTCGGTCACCTGAAAAGGGAAAGATAATCACCTGCTTTTTAATCTCAGCGATTCTGACAATTCACCATCGCCCGATCACATCCAGAGTTTTCTTGGCAAAACCCTTTGGTTTTCCAGTACTATTTTGTCTTCCATGTTTTTTTAAGGATTCCATCCGCCCAACAGAGCATAATCAATACGAATTTTGAGTTAAGATAAAGGCAAAAAGTAACAGAGAAGTGAAAAGCAACGCTATAAAAAGAAGTATATAAAAAAAGGAAGAATAAAAAAAGAAATGGTTTCTGGTTTACTTAACAGCTGTTATAAATACATTGATAATTTACTTCTCTGTCTAAGGTGACATCGGAGCTTCCTTCTTTCCCTAATCTACTCTTTCTAAACATCTTCTCTATAAACCATCTGTTCATTCTCTTCCCTTTCTCAGCAAAAAGTCTGCAAGGGCCCCTCTGTGGTTGATTTTTTTAAAAAAGATGCTAGCAAGGCCACCCCAATGACTTACCTTTTGGACCACGCAATCCGGTAATTCCTGGGGAGCCAGGAGAGCCAGGTATACCTTCCGCACCCTATGGAAGGAAATGGCAGGTAATAATCCTAATTAACACTGAAATCAGCTTTCCTGGTAGTGTGATTGGCCTCTTAGTATCCAGAAAGGAAACTCTTTTCTAGGGACTATTCTTGTGACCACCAGCAATCTGAAACCAATACCAGTGACCAAGGGGATGCTGCAATGGTTGTGTGAAAAAAAAATGCTTCTTAAGTCATTTTTTTCAGTGTTGTGGTGCTTGACTGAAAAGTGCAAGCTTACAAAACTCACAGGGTGCCACAAAATGTTTTTAATACAGGTAGTCCTTGTCTTATGACTACAGATTGAGCCCAAAATTTCTGTTGCTACATGAAACATTTGTTAGGTGAATTTTGCCCCATTTTACTACCTTTCTTGCCACAGCTGTTAAAAGAATCACTGTGGTTGTTAAGCTAGTAACATGGTTGTTAAGTGAATCTGGCCTCCACATTTGCTTACCCTAACCCTAACTCCTACACTCAAAACGACGCTATGGGGCACTGAACACCAGAACAACTAGACACAAGGACAGTTTTTCCCTGAACGCCATCACTCTGCTAAAGAAATAATTCCCTCAACACTGTCCAACTATTTACGAAGTCTGCACTACTATTACTATTAATCTTCTCATCACTCCTTATCACCCATCCCCTCCTACGTGTGACTGTATGACTGTAACTTTGTTGCTTGTATCCTTACGATTTATATGGACTGTTTCCTAGTATGATTTGATTGCTTATTGTACCCTATGAGTATCGTTAAGTGTTGTACCTGATGACTCTTGATGAACGTATCTTTTCTTTCATGTACAGAGAGCATTTGCACCAAGACAAATTCCTTGTGTGTCCAAACACACGTGGCCAGTAAATTTCTTTCTTTCTTTCTTTCTTTCTTTCTTTCTTTCTTTCTTTCTTTCTTTCTTTCTTTCTTTCTTTCTTTCTTTCTTTCTTTCTTCCTTCCTTCCTTCCTTCCTTCCTTCCTTCCTTCCTTCCTTCCTTCCTTCCTTCCATCCATCCATCCATCCATCCAGCTATCTACTTCACTTGTCAGAAGGTCACAAAAGGGAATCCCATGACCCCAGGACACTAAAACTGTCATAGATATGAGTCAGTTGCTAAGCATCTGAATTTTGATCACATGACCATGGGGATGCTGCGTAAGTGTGAAAAATGGTCATGTCAACATTTCTCAGTTTCTTTGTAACTTTGAACAGTCATTAAATGAACTATTACTAGTCGAGGACTACCTGCAGTATATACAACATTTGGAGGGGAAAGTGCAGTTGGTAGGGATTTTAGAGACTGGAAAAGAAGGACTGCGGGATCACTGCCAACTCTGGTTTTTGATTTCTTATTTGAAGACACTTCTGGCAATCTACACAGTGCTACACAATCCACCGGCAAGATCAACAGCCGCAAGAAATTCTGTCTAGATTCCTCTCCCACTTGTTGAGTTTTTGTGGTGCGGGAGACCCAGGGAAAAGCTGAGAGGCTCTTTCCTGACTCTGTCCTCAGATCTGCTATAATCCCAAAGCAGATCCCAAAGCAGATCCAGCGCAAGTTATAGGTCTAATCTGCTTCCACCTGATGAAAAAGATATGGACCAAAACTGTTCTGACTCAGATCCCAAAGACGAAAAATTCTCTGTTGTTAAATCAATGACTTCTTTATTAGGAATGCCAGCAGCTCCTTCCTCCTCTCCCTCTCCCTCTTCCTCTCCTTCTCCCTCCCCCCCTCCCCCCCTCTGTCTGTCTGTCTCTCTCTCTCTCTCTCTCTCACAAACACACACACAGCAGGCTATCAGTGGTGGACTGGTATGGAGATGAATAGTTGTCCACCACACCTATCCATCTCTGCCCCCTGCCTTTTATCCCCAGAGCTACGCTGGGGCTTCGCTAGCAGCAGTGGCTCTTCTGTCCCAAGGACCGGCCCATAGATTTCCACTGTTCTCCTCTCCTCTCCTCTGCCTTCTGTGCAGCTGCGTGTCAGGCACTGGACCCAGCTGTTCCTCCTCTTCCTCATCAGCCACCTCCAGGCCTGGGAGCTGTTGACTCTCCATCTGAGGGCTGACGGACAGCCCAGGCTTTGTCTCTGTCTCTCCCTCCCTCTCCCAGCTCCATTCCCTCCCCCCCCGGAGCTCTCAGGTTGCCCTGATGCTGACCCTGACTCCCACAGTGCCTCCTTTTCTGATTTAGCTGCTGAAGGGGCTGGTGGCCGACAGGCCACAATAAAAGCCCATACGAAGGACCCAAAGGATCCTGAACTTGTTGGGAGTTCACTAAGACTTCCAAAGTCTAAAAGTGGTGGCCACCATTGAACTTGGGAAGACCAGTGGAGGTGCTTCCCACTCAACCAGGAGTAAAAAGAAGAAGAGAGGAAGGATACTTACACTTCTCCCAGGCATTCCAGGAAACCCTGAGATGCCACCAGATCCCTTTTGTCCCAACAGCCCGGGAGAACCAAACATCCCTGGAAAACCTGGGTCTCCTGGCGGTCCTTTCTCTCTAGCTGGTGATCCAGCTCTCCCTGGAAGCCCAGGCTGCCCCCGGACACCGGGGGCTCCTTTGTCCCCTATGGAAAGGGAAAACAGTGATGTAGCGTGTCTTCAGAATGAAGACGGGCAGGTTTCCCCATGTCTCAGCCTATTCTGAGATAAGTTACATTGTAATAGAGAAGATGTTTTTCTGTGTCTAATGCGTCTTCACAAGGGCAGATTGGCAGATAGCAACGAGAATAGCACTTACACTTACACACCACCCCATAGTGTTTTACAGCTCTCTCTGAGTGGTTTAAAATGTCGGCGTGTGGCCCCCCAACTACCGTGTTTCTCATATAATAAAGCCGGGTCTTTTTTTTTTTTTTGAGCCCTGAAAAAATGGCTAGGCCATCTTTTCGGGGGTGACTTAATTCCCCCCCCCCCCTTGCATCTTCAGGCAGGTGGGTGGCGACGGCTTGGATGTTGACCTCGGCGTTGGTGGGGCACTTCGTATTGGGGTCAACGCAGGCAGCACCTTATCTGGGTGTGCAACAAAAGTACTTCCTAACAGCAACCCCCCCCTGCCATTTCCCCCCCCATTTCGCATGTTTTAATATAAGGCCTTAATTTGGGGGGAGGGGCTTAATTTCATTTCATGCCTATAAAACATGCTGGGACTTCCTATTAGGGGAGGCCGTATTGTTGGAGAAACAGGGTATCTGAGTCCTCATCTTCAGAAAGTCTGAGTCGACCTAGAGCCCCCTCAGGATCGAGCTCCAGGATGTGGGCAGAGTTAGCCTGCAATACTGCCTTCTAACCACGGTGCCCCCGAGATTTCACCTTGCAGCTATTCTGAGATGAGTAAGTTACATGGTAAAGGAGAAGATGCAATACAAATTAAGACTTTTCACTCATCATGCAGGCAGTGCCTACACTGCCATTCTGTTTTCCAGGGGTGGGGTTAACCGCAAATTCACAGAAAAGACAGGGTGGCTCTCTTCTTCTTTTGATGGGCCTCCCTGCATCTTCAAAATATTTCATTTCTAGCTCCGAGTTGCTGTTTGTGCTTAAATGCTGCTTTTGTGCTGGATCAATGGAAGATGTAACCCAGCATCTTGATTTCCACAGCCACCGTTTAAGGAATACAGTCTCCCTGTCTGTCAAACATACAGACATTAGAAGAAAGCAAATCTCCCACCAATAGAGATTTGGGGATTCCCACCTAAGTGTAATTAAAACAGTCAAGCCCATGGACAGGTGTAATTCTGATGTATCTCAAGGGCAACCAGATAAAGAAAGCCAGCTTGGTCACCTCTCATTGCCTAAGTAGTTCAGGACAAACAGATAAAATGGATGTGACTGCCTAATGCCAAACACATACCTCTCGGCCCTGGGAATCCTCTCTGTCCCACCAATCCAGGATCTCCTCTGTTCCCTTTGAGTTTGAGGCCCAGGCCTGGGGGTCTGAAAATGGGAGGTCCAGGAGGGCCACGGACACCTCTGTCCCCTGCACAAAAGAAGAAAGAGGAACACAGCAAGATGCTTATTCTACCTATAGTGATCCAGAGAGTGCCAGACATTCCTGCTTAGAGGCATCTAGGTCTGGAGTCCAAACCGTCTTAATTTATAGAGCCTCAAAAGCACTTTGCATATTACAGTAGGTAGAACAGCAGAAGACCAATCTCTCTCCCAAGGAATGTACTAATAGGAGTCCGATTCAGAAGAACTACCAAAAGAAGGACAATGGAGCGGGGTGGGGGGAGAGTTGTTGAGATGACCCAGGGTGGGGCACAAAAGCAACAAAGTCACAAAAATAGGTAAAGTCCTTTTAATTCCTTCAACTTGGCCTCCAAGGTCCAATTATCATTGACCAGAGAAAAAAGCTCCCCCACAAACAGTTGTGAAAAGGAAGAACTCCCATTCAGACTCATATAAATTATAAATAGAAAAAACAACACAAATCACACTGAGACAAAGCAGGATAAGGGCTTCAAGACACAGATATCGAAATACACACACTGGGAAGGACGCCAGAACTCAGATAAGAACTGACAGACTAGAATTATTTCACGCTTTGCTTCCAGCACTGGGCCATGCACAGTTGGTCCTTTTAAACAGTCCTCCCAGCTAGAGTCCATGAAGGGGATCAGGGCCCTTTCCTTCCCCGTAGACCATGCCATTCATATTTCTCCCTTATCCACTCCTCCTTGCGTGCCCTAGGATGAAGAGGGGATGGGCCTGGGCCTTCCTCTGAATGCTCAGCCGGCCTGTGCCCTTCTCTAGTTTCCTCCACAACCTCCGGAGCCATACTCCCATTCCCTGTAGGCTGTTCCACCTCTCCCTTGGAGTCAGATTCTAACAGAGGCATGACAGTTGTAAGCAGGAAAGCAACAAACTAGTTGTTTCAGTTGCATTGCAAGTAGACTTTTGCAAGGACACAGGAATCAGGTGGTCCTTGGTGGTCTCTGAGTTTGGTTGAAGCCACTAGAACAGAGTCCCCAAACTTTTCCGGCTCTGCAGACTGGCGGGAGGGGTGGGTGGGTCAGAGGGGATGATTCCATGTGAGCAGTGGGCAAGTGCAAGAGTGTGTACAGCTCCATTTGCACAAGCCACGAGTGTCAACTCCTAAAATATTTCTAGGGTGTTTTTAAAGTTGCCAACAGAAAGGGAGGGGGGAAAGGGGTTTGAAAGAGCAGTGTGGCAGCTTGGAAATCAAAAGTGCATTCCATGCAGTTTTTCAGAGATAGTAACCAGGTGACTGAAGTTTCTGCCGCACAAAATTCTAAGTGGAGAGCATGATTGATGACTCTTGGCTATGGATGTGTCTCAATGGAGAATATGAATTACGATACACCCAGGGAGTCGGTGGAAAACCAGGGTCAAGGGTGACAATGAATGATGTGTCTCAAAGTCAGCTACACCCAGGCAGTGCCAGACATGTTAACTCCCAATAAATCCTTTTTCAGTTTTGGAAGTTTGGCTCGAGACTCATGATTTAAATGGAGGGTAACTGCCGGAATCCTGACAGTAGACATGCGCACATACCCATGGCTTGCGCAAGTGGGAGTTTCTATCCTAACATGTATTTTAGAAGGCAATTCTGAACATTGGGCCAAAAAATATGTAAGTCCTAGTTTCACCCAAAGGCAAAGACAGCAGACACACAAAACCTTTCAAGTTGGATAGGTCATAATGCTGTGCTTTGTGCAAATTTTCAGACTCACCTTTGGAGCCAGGGAAGCCAGAGAATCCGGGGTTTCCGTTTCTTCCTGGCGCACCAAAAGTTCCCTTCGGGCCATCCACGCCAGGGCGCCCAGGTGGCCCCGGCATCCCAGGAAAACCGATCATGCCCACGGAACCCTTTTCCCCTAGTTTGGAACAACCAAGCATTATTCTAAGCAAAGGAATCCGAATTCTTTTTAGGAAAGAAGGATTAGAAATGCTTTGAAAGGAAAAAAAAAAGCTAGAACAGGTAGCCCCCAACATACAACCATTTATAAGTGACTACAGATAGTCCTCAACTTATGACAATGGGGCCCAACATTTCTGTTGTTAAATGAGACATTTCTGAAGTGAGTTTTGCCCCACTGTAGGACCTTTCTTGCCACAGTTGTTAAGTGAATCACTGCAGCCGTCAAGTTAGTAACACGGTTGTTATGTGAATCTGGCTTCCCCATTGACTTTTGTTTGTCAGAAGGTCACGAAAGGGATCACACAATCCTGGGACACTGCAACTGTCTTGAATGCGAGTCGGTTCCCAAGCATCCGAATTTTGATCACGTGACCACTGGGGATGCTGCAATGGTCGTGAGTGTGAAAAATGGTCACAAGTCACTTTTTTCAGTGCAGTTGTAACTTTGGCCGGTCACTTAAATGAAGTTTTGTAAGTTGAGGACTACCTACAGTTGTGCTCATAAGTTTACATACCCTGGCAGAATTTATGATTTCTTGGCCATCTTTCAGAGAATATGAATGATAACACAAAACTTTTCTTTCACTCATGATTAGTGGTTGGCTAAAGCCATTTATTATCAATCAACTGTGTTTACTCTCTTAAAATCTTAATGACAACAGAAACTACCCAAATGACCCTGATCAAAAGTTTACATGCCCCAGTTCTTAATATGGTGTATTGCCCCCTTTAACAAAATTGACAGCTGGAAATCTTTTGTGGTATGTGTGGATAAAGCTCTTTATCTTCTCAGATGGTAAAGCTATTTTTCCTGACAAAAAGCCTCCAGATCCTGTAAATTCTTGGGCTGTCTTGCATGAGTTGCATGTTTGAGATCTCCCCAGAGTGGCTCAGTGATATTGAGGTCAGGAGACTGAGACGGCCACTCCAGAACCGTCACTTTATTCTGATGTAGCCAATGACAGATCAACTTGGCCTTGTGTTTAGGATCATTGTCATGTTGGAATGTCCAAGTACGTCCCACGCGCAGCTTCTGGGCTGATGAACGCAAATTTTCCTCCAGTATCTTTTGATAACATACTGCATTCATCTTGCCATCAATTCTGACAAAATTCCCTGTGCCTTTGTAACTCACACATCCGCAAAACATCAGCGATCCGCCTCCGTGTTTCACAGTAGGAATGGTGTATTTTTCATCATAGGCCTTGTGGACTCCTCTCCAAATCTAGCGTTTATGGCTGTGGCCAAAAAGCTCAATTTTGGTCTCATCACTCCAAGCGACTGTGTGCCAGAAGGTTTGAGGCTTGTCTCTATGCTGTTTGGCGTAGTATTGTAAGTGGAATACTTCGTGGCATTTCCATAGTAATGGCTTTTTTCTGGCAACTTGACCATGCAGCCCATCTTTCTTCCAGTACCTTCTTATTGTGCATCTTGAAACAGCCACACCACATGTATTCAGAAAGTCCTATATTTCACCTGAAGTTATTTGTGGGTTTTTCTTTGCTTCCCGAACAATTTTCCTGGCAGTTGTGGCTGAAATTTTAGTTGGTCTACCTGACCATGGTTTGGTTTCAACAGAACCCCTCATTTTCCACTTCTTGAGTAGTGTTTGAACACGGCTGTTTGGCATTCTTAATTCCTTGGATATCTTTTTATATTCTTTTCCTGTTTTATACAGTTCAACTACCTTCTCCCACAGATCCTTTGACAATTCTTTTGCTTTCCCCGTGACTCAGAAGCCGGAAATGTCAGTGCAGCACTGGATGAAAGATGCAATGGTCAGGAACTAATTGATCTTTTATACATGCACACTAATTACAAGCAAACAGATAACGGGTGAGGATGGTTACCTTTAATAGCCATTCAAACCCCTTTGTGCCAACTGTGTGCATGCTATCAGGCCAAAATCACCAGGGTATGTCAACTTTTGATCGGGGCCATTTGGGTAGTTTCTGTTGTCATTATGATTTTAAAAGAGTAAACACAGTTGATTGATAATAAATGGCTTCAGACAACCACTAAACCATGAGTGAAAGAAAACTTTTTGTGTTATCATTCATATTCTCTGAAAAATGGCCAAGAAATCACAAATTCTTCCAGGGTATGTAAACCTAGGAGCACAACTGTATATTCAAAAATTACAGTCGCACTGAAAAAGTGACTTCAGAACTGGTCAGGACCTGCTTAATGACACCTCTGACCTCACCCCCATTCCTAAGAGGCGCGTGCATAAGCGCACCAATGTCCCTGTCCTAATGTTCCCTTTTATTCTATCCATTTAATTTCATGTATTCATAATTATGTTTATACTTACGTCTGTTATCCAATACATGCTTGACAAACAAACAAATAAATAAAAATAAAATTACCTTTTGAGCCTGGGAAACCTGAAGTTCCTTTTGGGCCCCAGAGACCTGGAGGTCCAGGCAACCCTTGTTCTCCAGGCCGTCCTGGCAGGCCATCAAGCCCTGGGAACCCTTTCATGCCGGCGGGACCTGGTGAACCAGCATCTCCTCTTGGGCCTTTTGTTCCGGGAGGTCCTGAATGGTTCAAAACCCAAACCATCAGCAAGATGTTCTTCCAAAGACAAACATTTCTACCATCCCTGCGCCATCTTTCAAGGGGTTAACACTAAAGCGTTTTATTTGTATTCAGCTAACTGAACTGCGGCTAAAATATAAATCATGCAGCCTTTCTAAAGCACACAAAGTTAGAAAAGTTTTTTTTTTAAAAAGGTATTAGTTGCCTAATGATTAAAAAGCTCTAGGAAAGCTACTGCCTGGACCAACAGCCAACAGTGAAACCCCTTATGGTTGGGTTAATTGAGCTGTTATCAGTTACCATTTGGGAAACATGGGAGTCATATAGGGGACCAACAGGGACCCAGAAACCTCTTGGCGTGTCCCTTTCCACTTGCTACTGTCATTCTAAGTCATACCAAAATGTTTTTCCCAGGCTTTGCTCTATACTCTAGACAGTGACCTGGACTGGATTCCAATGGAGAAGAAAACCTATTAACGTGAAAGGGGAATAGTCACTTGTACATGGATAAAAACACAAATTGTGCTTGACTCGAGGACGTCACACTAGTGGCAGCAGTAAACTGGCTGTAACTAATCTGGATAAAGCTAAGCAGAGTTGGACCTGGTCAGTACTTGGATTGAACATCAATGGATAGGACTGCAGTCTGGACTGTAAAATTGTAGACCTTCCAGGAGAAAGCTTTGGCAATTCACACCGATGTTGTTGCCAGTAAAATTATCATCAGTGTATCTATCCAGTCACCAGAAGCCAAGCTCAATTTGACCTAGTCTTTACTTTTTAAAATTAAATTTAAAAGCTGAAGCATGACTGAGGCAGAATCTAAACAATGATCTGTAAAACTGTGCTGACAATGCTAGAAATAACTTTGCTGATAAAACCAGCCCTACGGGGAGGGACTTTAGCTTCTGAATTTGTCAGGTTGAGTCTTAAAGGTCCAGATGGTGTTTTTTTTCAGACAGACAGCAACAAAAAAGAGTAATGTCAGGAGACTAAAAAAACCCAACAAGCGTTGTACAATATTGACGAAAACATCACTTAAAGCAGCTTTCCCCAACTTTTCTGGCTTTTGTGGACTGGGGCGGGGTGGGGAGGAGGAGAGGGGATGGTTCCATTTTCGGCCCAGTTCCGAACAAGCTGTGGCCCGATAATGTGCAGTGGCCCAGAGGTTGGGGACCCCTGACTTAAAAGCCCCAGGTTCTTTTTCAGGAAAGATATAAAATGTTTGCAAATGGGAAAAAACCAAACATCTAAAACTAAGTGGAAGTCCATGTTGGCTGAGTGATTCTTTGCACATTGAGCTGGCATTGACTCTTATTGCCCAGACAGGTGGACCTTCTCCAGATTCAGTGGCTACACCGATAGATCTTCTCCAGGATAAGAAGCCCATGTGCGGCGCCTCCTACATACAAATCCCTTTTCTGAAAAGGTGAAGGCCACAATTCTTTGCAGGATTGAAATAAGGGGTGTCACAGTCAGCGCACATTTTGTAGCATAATAGGCTAGGCAGCTGTTAGTCCAAGAGTTTTTACGCTACAAAGCAGTTGCTCTCACCTTGGCAGCCTATGTGAAGAACCCCCAAAACCAAAACAGTGTGACATCAGAAATGGAGAGATGATGGCAAATGGAACAGAAACATGGTGAGGAAAAACAGACAAAAACATGTGAACCAGGAAGAAAGCACAAGGCCGAGAATGAAGTTAATGACTTGGAAAACAACTGAGCTCTTTCTCCGTGGAGACTCTCAGTCATCCAAAGTCATGATTGTCCCAAAGGTGCTTTCTCAGAAGGCAACTGGGCTTTCTTTATTTTTGCTTGAAGACATTTCACTTTTCATCCAAGAAGCTTCTTCAGAATTGAAGAAGCCTGGATGAGAAGCGAAACGTCTTCCAGGAAAAATAATGAAACCCCATTTGTCTTCTGAAAAAGGACCTTTCGGACAACGGAGCTCTTTCTCAACGCAGCTTAGATCAAATGTACGGGTGGGGTTCCCTGGGGTTGGGTGGATGGAGACAGTAGACAGGAATGTGAAAACAGGGCTGCTGGTTTTGGAGGTAAAAATATTTGAGTAAGGGAACGATCGTCCCGAAGGTGCTTTTTCAAGAGTCAACTGGACTTTCTGGTTTTTCTTTGAAGACGTTTCATTTTTAATTCAAGAAGCTTCTTCAGCTCTGACTGGATGGTGGGAAATGGAAGGATTTATACTCCTTCTAGACAGCTGGTCATTTGCATTCTTTTAGAGAGCCGTTGAGTCCACCATCCAGTCAGAGCTGAAGAAGCTTCTTGGGTGGCAAGCGAAACGTCTTCAAAGAAAAACAAGAAAGTCCAGTTGCTTCTTGAAAAAGTGTCTTTGGGACAACCATGACCTGAATGACTGACAATCTCTATAGGTGTTAAGAGAAATATAGTTTCCCTCCAGGATTTCTTTTGAACATTTTTTTATTCCCCCAGATTTTATTCCTCCGGCCCACCCCGATATCCCAGGACTTCATATTTTTATTTGAAGGAACTGTTCCCACTGTGGCATCAAGGCCTGAGAAGACCACTTTCCACCACCTTAATTGACAGCTCAGTTATCCAGGATGTTGGATGAGAGATGGATTCCCCTCTAGATGAAGGATCCATACATGGCCAAGCGGAAGCATCACAAGTCCGCGTATATACTGTATAATGCCAGCAGAAGTAAACCAATTCCTAGCACCTTCATTAAAAGGATCTGGATGGTGACGGAAGGAAATTGGCTGAGATTATTGAAGGGGCACTTTATCACACAAGAAAGGGAAACTGTAACCCTCCATTACAGCTGGTATAAAACACAACAATGGTTAAATTTAATGCCTAAATTTAGTGCCACTGGTGTAGGGATTTGCATTTGATTTAATTTCTGTTCCAGAACAAGAATGGTTGGAATTATCCTTCGAATGGAGTTAAACACTGCACTAAACACTGTTTTTATTCTTGTTCGACAATAGAATGGTTTATTGTGGTATCATTTATTAAACTCCAAACAGTTTCATCTACAGGGACTTGTGGCTATTACAACTGCAATACATCCAAGAGGCTGTTGAGAAATTAAGAAAACTGGTTTTCTGATTTTCTATAGAGATTCCCAGTCATCCAGGTCATGGTTGTCCCAAAGGTGCTTTTATAAAAGGCAACTGGACTTTGTTTTTTCTTGAAGATGCTTTGCTTCTCATCCAAGAAGCGAAACATTTTCAAGGAAAAAAACAAGGTCCAGTTGCAAAAAGCACCCATGTTTCTGGTTGCTTAGGAAGATCACAGGATGGCATTGGACAACATGAATGAGAATAAATGGATGGGGTGCAAATCTTCGAAGGTATGGAAATTTCCTGAAATTAATCAATGAATATGGATCATGAAAGTTAGTTGTGAAGGATATGATCGTGAAATGAAAAGGCTCATTTCAGACAGTTCTATAATCTTCAGTTAAATTGTTGGTACAATGATCAATCTGAGGCAGATTGGACAGTATTTTTAAAATATTTTTTTTAATCCTGCTTTTATTATTATTTTTTATAAATAACTCAAGGCGACAAACATATTCTAACATTCCTTCTGCCTCCTACTTTCCTCTGTGAGGTGAGCTGGGCTGAGAGAGTCTCTAAGTGGTGCCCAGAAACATTCTTGGACATTAATGTAATCCTTTGCAGTGTGCCAAACACCCCCCTCCCCTCAATATTCTTTTCACTATTCAGGTAGTCCTCATGTAATGACTGGTCGCTTAGTGACTGCTCAAAATTACAACGGATTCTTAAAAAAGGTACTCATGACTTGACTTTGAAATTCTGACAAGTGCATAACTCCCTCCTGTGGTCATGTGATCAACCTCCCTAGTCATGTGATCACATTTGGGGCATCTAGCAATTAGTTTACGACTGTCTTCATAAATGTGGGCAAATGCATTGATCTTGGGGTCATGTGACTAAAGTTTTCAGCGGGTTTTTGTGGGTTCCCGGCCTTTTTTCCTGGTTTCCAGCCCCCCAAAATGGATCTGTTTCATGACTGTAGTGTTTACTTAATGACCACTGCAAAAAATGTTGTAAAATCAGGTGCAATCATGTGAGTGACCTGCTTAACCACCGCAATGACTAATGACTGTAATTCCAGGTTCATCAATGGTCATAATTCAAGGACTACCCGTATTCAATGCCGGTTTGGTGTATTTGGCTGAGAGTTTTGGCATCTGCTTTGTTCTCTTATCTCATCTCCAGATTTCTGGAATCTCCTGAATAAATTTAGAAGCACCTGGGCAAAGTGCTATCAAGCTCAAGGATAGGTCTCAAGTGGGCAACCTGCAGGAAAACTCTGTGGAGGGAACATCTGAAGGCAACACACCTTCATCCAGGGTGAAACAATCCATACCTTGTGATCCTGGAAGGCCGATTGTTCCCAAGGGACCTGGTTTTCCTTTGATGCCAAATGGACCTCCTGCTCCTGGTGGTCCTTGCAGTCCATCAAAACCTGGAAGACCCGGCTCCCCACGTTCTCCTTTTCTACCCGACAGGCCAGGCCTTCCATCCAAACCTGGAAACCAAAAAAGATCTAACAAATCCCATTCTTTTCCCCCTTACATAGGTGCTCAACAAAACTCATGGGACTGATTTGCCTTCAGAACAACAGAGTTGGAAGGGACCTGTGGGTCTTCTAGTCCAGGGGACTCCAACCTTGACAACCTTAAGACTTGTGGACTTCAACTCCCAGAATTCCTCAGCCCTGTTCTAGTCCAAGCCCCTGCTCAAGCAGGCCACCCTATGCCATTCTGGAAAAAAAATGGCTGTCCAATGTTTTCTTTAAAAGCTCCAGTAATGGAGCATCACAATTTCTGGAGGCAAGCCGTTCCATTGATTAATTGTTTTCACTGTTAGGTCTCCATCCTTCTAGGTTGCTTCTCTCCTTGATTAGTTTCCATCCATTACTTCTTGTTCTGCCCTCAAGTGTTTGGAGACAAGGCTCAAATATCAGAAGACCGCTATCAAGTCACCCCAAGTGAAATCGGTTGTGAGCTCCTTGGCCGGTTGACATTTCCAATCTCTGGAAGGCTCAAAAAGCAAAGATCTATGCAGTTTTAAAAGCGATGCAAGAAAGCGCTTACTGTATACCCAGTTGGAGAAAAATCCTATTTGTGATATTTAATTTAATTATATTTAAATGTAAATAAATCTAAAGTCAAGGCAGGATTTTTTCCAGCCCCATCGAGTTGAGTGAGATCCTGATTTGATACTCAGTGGCCAATAGTGGCTCTCACTGTGGAAATAGTTGTGTATCCTTATGTTAAATATGTAGCTACAGGTGTGTGTGTGTGTGTGTGTGTGTGTGTGTGTGT